TTAAAATTGTTGTACACAGGATAAGCTCCGCCCCCAGAACATATTCCCAGAATCAATTCATTTCTGATCGAAAAAGATGGTAAATATCATTATACATGGATAAAGTGTTTAAGCAGGCCATTATGCGATCAAACAAAACATGCATTAAAGAAATATTTCTGTGAAAGATGCCTGCATAGATACAGCAGACAAGATCTATTAGAAGCGCTTAAAGAAGACTGCAGAGGTGTTGGATAGACTAACATTTAGTCTCTGAAATCTTATATAACACAATATCCTTCTTGACTCTAAAAATAAAAAAATATTCCCTATGCTGATTTCAGAATAGAAAAGAGCTAGCTTGAGCTGGCTAGACTTGCTTTTGTAAGCATTTCTAGATTATTTTTTTTTCATAAAATAAATATATTCCATGGTCATGGTGCAGGACTAAGGTGTTGGACAGGATTGATATGCCTAAAGAGGGGGAAAATATATTCAAATTTGAATATTATTGTAATCAAATGCCCGTACCGTACGTAATTTACACTGACTTCAAAGCACTTATCAAACCTATAGAAAATACTGAACACAATACTGATAGTAGTTTTACATACAAAACTCAAGAACATATTCCTTGTCGGTTTGGATATATAGTTGTAAGGTATGATGGGAAAACAAACCCGCCCGTGATTTACAGAGGTCCAAAACGAAGAGAGAATAATCAGGGAAATTTTATTGTGTAAGAAACCCATGTGTATGACGAGGGATGATTGGAGGGCCTATAAGAAGTCGACCAGTTGTCATGTTTGTAATAAACCCCTGAATGGGGATTCCGTAAGAGATCATTGCCACGTCACGGGTAATTATCGGGGAGCCGCGCATAACGAGTGTAACTTGAAACTAAAAATGAATTCTCAAACAATACCCATCCCCATTGTGTTTCATAACCTTAGAGGATATGATTCACATCTCATCATGCAAGCTATCTCAAAGACCGACGGTGGTTTAACGTGTATTCCTAATAATTTGGAAGAATACATATCATTCTCGTTGACTAAAACTATTCATTATACCGACAAGGATGGGAAAGCCACAATAAAGCAAAGTAATGGGCTTAGATTCATAGACTCCATACAGTTTCTGTTATCTTCCCTGGACAATTTAGCTAATGCGAACAATCCCGATGACTTTGCAATAACAAATCAATATACTGATCGGTTAACACGTCATTTGTTGTTGAGAAAAGGTGTATATCCTTATGAATATATGGATGATTGGCCTAGATTCGACGAAACTAAATTATCACCCCTTGAATCATTCTATAGTAACTTAACAGAATCTAAAATAACCGATGCCGATTATGAACACGCTCTGACGGTCTGGGATAAATTAGGTTGTAAGAATTAAGGCGATTATCACGATCTGTACTTAAAAACCGATGTACTGTTACTCGCCGATATATTCGAGATATTTAGAAAGACATGTTTAAAACAATATGGCTTGGACCCGGCATGGTACTATTCCAGTCCCTGACTATCGTGGGATGCATTGTTGAAAAGACTGGTGTAGAACTAAAACTATTCACCGATTACGAAATGCACTTGTTTATTTAGAAAGGATTAAGAGGTGGTATATCGATGGTAGCGAAAAGGTATTCTGAGGCTAATAATAAATTAGTGGAAGGATATGATCCGAGTAAACCCGACATGCACGTATTATATCTCAACGCCAACAATTTGTACGGATGGGCTATGAGCCAACCTTTACCCACGGGCGGGTTTGAGTGGGTCGATGTGAATGATATCGAAGTGAATGATATCTCCTCAGATTCCGATAAAGGGTACATACTAGAAGTTGATTTGGAATATCCAAATTCGTTACATAAAGATCAGAACAGTTATCATCTAGCTCCTGAAAGATTAATGGTGAATGAAGATTGGATGTCGGAATATCAACACTCCTTGATGGGTAATACTAGGTTAGCTAACGTAGAAAAACTCGTACGAAATTTGATGGATAAGACAAAATATATAGTTCACTACAGAAATCTCCAGTTATAACTATCGTTAGGTATGAAACTAAAGAAAATACACAGAGTTCTAAAGTTTGATCAAAGCCCTTTGATGGAGCCCTATATAAGGCTGAACACAGATTTAAGAAAGATAGCTACCAGCGATTTCGAAAAGAACCTGTATAAGCTCATGAATAACTCAGTATTTGGTAAAACTATGGAGAATCTAAGGAAGTGTGTTGATGTTAAATTAGTCAGGTCTAATGAGGAAGAAAGACTCAGGAAACTTATAGCCAGTCCGGCTTTTAACAGAAGCAAGATATTTGATAACGACTTAGCCACGTTGCATATGCAGAAAAGTAATATAAAATTCAACAGACCGGTGTACGTTGGTATGAGTATTCTTGACTTGTCAAAACACTTAATGTATGACTTTTATTACAACGAACTTAAAGGGGAAGTGTACACGCAAAAATCACTTTCTTTCTTTTTCTAAACAAAACGCAATTTTAGAATTAATTAGTATCTGTGTTTGAAAATATACACTCATTTTTTTTCACAGTGAACGTAGGAAGCTCACAATAGTGTGAAAATGATATGCCGTTATGAGGCCTTCGTTTTTCGAGCTAAACAGGCCTGAGTTATCCCCCTTAGATTATGACGTAATTGGTGCCAATTCAACTGGGTCCCTGTCTATTCTCAATGCAAAAGATATCAAGTACCAGTTTGCGGTAAAACAACATGGCCTACGACACACTCCGGCGCAGTGGTGACTCAGCATAACACTATGCTGGCTGGCATCTGAGACGCTAGAATCACACACCTGTACCTACACCACGTGAAGCGGCTCTAACAAAGCATGATGACGTCATAATGTTTATCAATTGGCACCAATGACGTCATATTGCAAGGGGCATAAGCCATGGTGTTTTTGTTGTGGAAATAGAACACTTGGTAAATGTGAAAAATATAAATCGTTTTAATGCGAAAAATATGTTAATTAATTGTGATATTTTTATATTTTTGTCTATGACACTTCTAGGTTAACACTTTTAATGTGGAAAAAGTACAAGAAAAATAGGTTCATTTCCGTGTGAACTTGCCCTTTAAGAAGCCGTACAGTGATAGATGCGAGGTGTTGTATACCGACACAGATTCTTTGTTGATGGAAATACAAACTGAGGATGTGTATAAAGATATGGCAGAAAAAATAGATATGTACGACACAAGTGATTACCCAAAATATAATCCACTGCACAGCGTAGTTAATAAAAAGGTGTTAGGTAAGATGAAGGATGAATGTGCTGGGACCCCTATAGCGGAGTATGTCAGATTAAGACCTAAGATGTATTCTATAAAGAATTCCGATAATGGAGAGATACGAAAAGCAAAGGGTGTTAAGAAGTATGTGGTAAAAAAGCATATCAAACACAAACAGTATAAACAAGCATTATTCAACGGTAGAACATTCAAACACGAGATGAACTCTTTAAGAAGTGTCAATCATACGATATATGGATTAAGAATGAACAAGACATCATTATCCCCCTTAGATACAAAGAGATGGATTGATAAGGATGGTGTAACTACCTATGCTTATGGTTATGGTGGTAATACTGTATCGCTGGGATCTATGAGCAACTCTTCTCGTACAAATGCCCTGCCTGGTCCATCTTTAAGATAATAAAGAATAGGCTCTCCTTCTTTCATAACCATCTTTCGACATCGTGCTTTGTTAACAGTTTAGTTACTGATCCCATAAACTCGCAACCAGCATCTACTTGAAATAGCTTAGGCCATTTTAGTGGTCCGCATTTATATATGCGGCTCAGTGCATTAGCTACTTCTGTTGAATCTTTTGAGGTTAATGGCTCAGCGTCTTTGTATCGACTAGCCACATCCACTATGGTTAAAGCGTATTTATTTGTTTTGCGTCTTACCTTATCATTAGGAAGAAACAAGAGGTCAGCCTGATGAACTTCATTCGTTGTAAAAATATCAAACTTCTTCCTCGGTATATAACGCGGTGCTGGTAAATATATTTGCCACATCGCTTGTTTCTTTAACCAATCCTTGGCCACATCTTTAGATACCTTAGCCGCAGTGGCTAATTTGTTTATTGCTCCCATACCTTTCCAATATCCTCGTGGGCTATAGTAAATTTTATTCATTATTAATTAATATTGATGTTTCTTTTAATATGACACATGACGATCGTGGAATCTCATCATCGTTTTTGCATAAAAAATTCCCTCTGTAGTAGCGGTATAGGTATATAAATCTGGCTCCAGTGGAAGTGGTCCAGAATCACCATTACCTACACCACTAATAGAGGTTTTTATTCGCAAGAATTATCAAACAATAGTTATCTTTGTTGATAATTCCAAGAATACTACCTCTATTATATGATCAGGAGTAATCCCACCCGCCCCCCCCTTATATTTTGCATCGAGGATGTAGGTGTTGGAAAGAACTGAGGTATCTCTGCATTCACAGGGTTCAGGTGGGGAGATACTAATAGTATCTCAACTAGTTATAGATAGTTAACAATGAAAATCTTTAGATTTTATAGTGTGATGACAAGCCAACATTGCAAGATTTATGACACTGATGTAATAGAGGTAGTATTGTTTTGATTATTAACAATGAATTGATAACTGTTGTTTTTATTTCCAAACAAGGCAATTTGCACATCATTCTTGGATAAATATTTCATGATCATTGTCACACTAACTGGGTGTTGGTTACAACTAGTTGGGAGGCAGTACAAGCTGTCAGTACTTCAGGCTTGCCATGGGAATAGAATGAAGAACAGATGATAACAGTGACCAGCTCGCAACAAAGCTGACGAGTGGGATGTCAACGGTAAACAACAAACCAACCAACTACAAGCTCAGCTGATGATGACCAGGCTGATGAATGTTCGTTTGCGTGCACTGTACAACATCTGATGCCGTTGAATTGTAGTATCATTAGAAATGTAATAGCATGGTTATTGTTTTTTTTGTAGAAACTAAATGAAGAGGCACTGACACAGGCAACAATGCAATACAGTGTACAGATGGGCAGTCTGAAAACAGAATATATGACAGTTTTATCTGAACTGGAAAAGGAAAGAGCTTCTGTTGGAAAACTGGAGACTGAGGTAGGAGCTGTTACATGCTCATACTCATACTTACATGCTGAATACTCTATAACACAATAGTAGTCATTGTAAATTAATGTAGTATTCTATATGTATAGACATGCTAATATTAGGGGGAGGGCCATTTAATATTATGTGGTGGGGATTGCTGGGATTGTATGGCAGTACTTCCTTGGGGCTAGGAAAGTGTCTTCTGTTTCAAATGTTTATCCCATTGAAGCAAGAGATAGACGATGTCTTGCATTCAGAAACAGGCGTACATGCTGTAACTGTCTTACAGAATGCCCCATGTTAACCTTTTCAGGGTTGCATGATTAGAAAACACCTTCTGACTTTCACTTTAATGATCTCTCATGCAATGCCCTGATGTAGCATCAGGAAGCACTAAGACATGATTTTGACAAAATTGTAACAATTAATTTTTTACTTATCCTGCATTACTCCTTAATGCATTCACTGCTTACCTCAAGACAACTAGAAAGACAGCGCAATAGCGATGGTCCTGGGTGAAGAAATAAAGTTGTTGTTCTGATGTCCCTTTTACTGACCTTCGCCGCTGTCCTGTGACCTTGATGACACCTAAGGTCATCTTCACATCACTGCTCGTCGCACTTCAGCAAGGACGTGTCCCAGCGAAGCTCTTCTTTTGGATTAATTTAGACCTTCAGGTTTCGTCTACAATCCTAAAATTGATCTGCGATGGGTGAATTCTACATATTTCTTCCAGTCCCGCTTCATCAACAATTCTTTAATTGCGTAACTTATGGTTGTGCGTTGTGCTAATTGTCATGGAAAAAATCTTAAAGGATTATCATCTGCGTTGGTTGGCTTGCATGCATATGTGCTCGCCAAAATCTAAATGTAAATAACTTTGGTTTACATTGAGTTGCGTATATAAAAATATTATATACACTTTCAACTCGTATTTTTGCCGATAGATTATTGTTCAATTCTACAGCTTTCGTCCAGTAACGTCTCATCAACAATGGTTTAATTGTGTAACTTATGCTTGAGCCTTGTACTGATCATCTTCCCAAAGGCAAGACTATAAAAGTCCAGTTTCCACCGTTGCCGAACTAGGCTGGTATTATGGAGTTATATTTTGGCTGGACTAACGAGACAATGCATAGTCTAATCAAAATCGCACACTGAAATCAAAATCCGGTTCGTAAACTGTCGTGCAGATTTCGGTCAATTGCAGGATTTGCAAAGCATGTGCACAGCCAACTCGTTGTCAGCAGATATTTTCCAAATCTTTTCCTGTTTTTTATCAAGGTGCTCACATGATTTGATGCATTTCGCGATGTAAGACCCGTTTTATCACAATATAGATCTTGATTATCAATCAGATCGTCCTGACTCGGCGCCACCATTTTGTGTGAAACAAACGCAAGTGATGCGAGAGGTGGAATCTGATTGGTCCATAGGAGAGGCTTAGAAGGGACATAACTGGTAATAGCCACTGGTGGCTCTAAGGTCGAGCCCAGTAATTCCAGCCTAGTTCGGCAAGGGTGGAAATCGGACTTTTAAAGTCAGTTAACTCTCTTGCCTCGGGAAGATGTGTACTGATTGTTGTGGGAAAATCTTACAAGATTTTCATCCACGTTGGTTGGCTTGCAGGCAGATGTGCTCGCCAAACTCTAAATGCTTTCCCTGGAATGTGCGAATATGTGATCGCCAAATTCTCAATGTAATTTTTGTGTAAATCTCTCTCCAACAAGTTTTACAATATAAAGGCAGGTTACTCACAATCATATTTTGCAGTAATCCCGTCATGAGACGAGAGGAATGTCACAATCGCTGAATTGCGAAGGACATGGTTCAGTCATTACCACCCAGCAGTTATTATCGGTGGGTAATATGACACCTGTAACTGTGACTGCAGTAGTGCACCCTCCACCGAAATCAACAATACCGGAGGATTTTGTGAGCATCGTAACTGCTCCTAATTTTCAGCGGCCTGACACATCCAAATCTGTTAAATCTGCGACGCCGGCGACAGCACCAGTGTCTCAAGATGTTTTGATGGGGGTAGCACAGAGGCAAGCCATGGTCCAGTCCATACCATTGTCTCAGTTACCTGTGCCGAGTGCAGCGCCTTACTACAACCCAAGTGCCTCTGTAACGCAGGCGACGCATGATCAGCTTAGTGCTGTTCCAACATATCCCTTTCCTGTATACTAATTGGACAATGGTCCAAGTGCTTCTACAATGATCTAGTCATCACCGATGAGTCTTGTCTGATAGACCTGCACTGAGCTCAAGGGCTTACAGTGTACTCGGTTACGCAACCGGCACAAGATCAGCTTAGCGATGTTCCAACAACTTTGGCATAAGCTTAAGCACCTACACCTGTGCCTAACGTATACCAAATGCCTAATGTGTTACCTGGTACAGCATACATCACTGGGCAGCGCTAGTACGCCAGCGCGTATGGGAACATCACCACATGGCTCCTTATCCAAGCGGGTCATCAAAGCCTGCTGATAGAGGACGCACTACGCACCAGACCAGATCACCGGCTTAGCGCAAGTACCCGATTGGGTAGCAGACCATCTTGTGTCAGTGACACCCTCCCTGGTAACAGGGTAAATAAGAAGGACACTACGAGATCATTGGAGGAAGACTTCTCCAATCTCACATTTGCGCCGTCATTTAAGCCACCAACATCATCAATGTTTGCGGTGGATCAGGATCTATCAGAGGATAACCCTATCTAATTAGATCACTACCAAACTTTGGTGATTTTCCTACAGCATCAGGAAAATTCATCTTGAGATCGCCCTGGCAGAGATTACCGTCACACCTAGACTTTAGAGTTTTTCCAACTGGGATTCCAAGTTCAAGGGCAGGCTGCTACTTGGTCATCTACTCCCCTGTTCAATGAACAGATCGCAGACACACACGCCAAGTTCCCAAAACACTTGGAATGACACTGTGCTCAGACTCTAGAGCATGTCTCTTTTAGTCTATCCCAGCGGGCTGGCAAGTCAGGCAATTATAAGCCTAGTCACGCGTCTCTCAAGGAAGACCAGTATTCCCTTAGTGGGAAAGGCGTGGCAGAGGCAAGTCTCAGGGACGATTACGTACTCATCGTACAATATCATGGTTTCCGTATACGTAGAGGTAACCCCCACTGTTGACGACAGTCTATTTGGAAAATCCAACATAGACATACCGTTGGTAAGAAGAGCTGTAGAGTTGGTTCACAACATCCCTTGGGAAGGGCTAAAAGCAAACGCTTTTCCGCCACCAGTTTTACTTCCCAAGGTGATCAAGGAGACAAGGTATCTTGCTCTCACCTTGGTCGCGCCCTGGTGACAAAAATCTAGCAGAAGATAATCCACTACCCCTCCCACAGTGGTCCAACCTACTCATCCACCCTCACAGCAAATTGCCTCACCAATGTCTGTACGCATGGTTCATCTTTAAAAGGCATTTAAGTGCGAAGGGTTATTTCGGCATGGGCAGCAAAGCATTAGCTTTAGTTCATCATTCTTCTCCCAGAGGACTATACGATGACAAGTGGGGATCATTTGAGACTTTTTGCAAGGCAAAAGCATCAAGACCCTATGATTGCGTCACAACAATCCCTAGCGGAATACCTCCTACATTTGCATACCCAAAGACACTTGGAAGGTAGCACCATTACTACATAATTGGCTGCACTTAACTCGGTGTTGGCTGTTCCGGAAAATCACAAGGTGATTAAGGTCATGGAACTACAGGCCCTATTACGCTCATTCAGGCTTGAGGATGAGAAGGCTAAGTTCTGCCCACCTGCTTGTGGCTTGAACGTGGTACTTTGAGGTTTGCAAGGGCCCCCTTCGAGCCCCTCTATGCATCCTCATTTTATGACCTATGGTTTCTCTTGGCATTAGCCACGGCAGCACGGGTGAGCGAACTACATGTGATCGACACCACCCGGGTCCGCTTTGAGCATGAGATGCACAGAGCGGTACATCTCGTGTTATGTTTGGATTTTATTGCTAAAATCAACTACCAGGCCGGCCAACCCGATTGTTCCTTCACCATCCCACCAATATCGATTATTGTGGGAGTCGTACATGAAGGTGAATTTCTTCTGGGCTCGGTCCGAGCAGTTCAAGTTTTTATTCACTCCAAAACTAGGCGTGGTTCAAGGAAGCGGTTATTTATACCCGTGTTTATATGACCAAAGTTAGTCGCAAACACCATATCTCTAGGGTTATGCGCAGTCATCCTTCATGCTTTATGAGATCGCCAAAACGGAATCCGCTGAGAGCTAATTACCCTCACGATCTCAGGATGTTAGCCTTTACCATGGCTCTACACTGCATTTGTTCTATTAGAACAATCAGGGAAAGATATTTCTGGAGGTTCGACACAGTTTTTGTTAGTCATTTTCTTCGCGTTGTGGCTCTCGAGGACATCAAAGGCGTGCGAAGTTTTGGCCCTCTGGTTGTAACCCAGCAGGTTACCAACCCCTGATGCAAATAATGAACTTGCCCTATACAGAGCCAACCTACTTCCATATGCAGTCACTCAGTTTCCACCAGTGGAAGAATATTAGACAATCTTGTTTGTCAACGACGGCTCTATGACGTAGTAAGTAAAGAATTAGCTGATTAGCTTTTATTTTCTTCATTACTAAATGTGTATAAGGAATTTCTCTTTAGTTCCTATGTTCAATCGTTTTGATATTTGAACAACCCTACCGTAATGCCGTTTTCTGAACTTTTCCGCTTCACGGTTTATCGACCAACTGGTGTTGTCTTTCAGGGTGTGAATTATTGAGGTTTCTGTATTCCAGGGTGTGAATTATTGAGGTTTCTGTATTCTGAAGGTTTACCCACCTTCAAACCGTCCAATACAGATGCATTAAGGAGTAGTGCAGGATAAGTAAAAGATTTAGTCAAATCTAAATCACCTCAAAAGTATGTTTTTCTTAGAGCTCGAGCAATAGGCAGTGATGTGAAGAAGGTGACCTTAGGTGTCATCAAGGTCACAGGACAGCTGCA